GACGAGGTCTCACTCTTGTTCAGGCTGGTTTCGAACTCCTGAGCTTAAGCAATCCTCCTGCCTCAGCCTCCCAGAGTGCTAGGATTACAGGGGTGAGCCACCGTGTCCAGCCAAAAAGTGCAAATTTTCTTACAGTAAAGTCTCCCTAGGAAAGTTTGTCTTCAAGTGGTTTTATTGTTGAGCATTTACGAAATTACTCTGAAAATCACCACTACTATTTTTAGTGTAGTATTGCTATTACTCTTTCATGATTCAATCTCTAAAGATTTGCTATGTTAATATCATCACTATAAACTAGTTCTAACTGCGGTGCAAATCTCAGGACGAGTCAGTGCATCGTGCATAATATTTCTTTTGCAACATGAAAAAGAGAGAAACTGAGAGAAATATGGAACAGAGAGCGTTAAGCTGAGAGCATGCAAGAATTGAATAGAAGAAAATGAGGCAGATCCAGAAAAGTAAATGTGCACATTGACCGAGCAGATCTCGTGAGTCAGACAGTGACAGGCGAGACAGGGGTAGCTACCGATCTCATTACTCAGATTTGCACTGAGAGAAAGCCAATGCCACCACCCCTGAGGCGACCACCTCTTACCTGTCCATAGTGGTCTCCAGACTGTCTTTCTTGGCTCCCTGAAAGTCTTAGACCAAGAAGATCCTGCTTCAGTCAATGCTTCTTCACTGCCTCTGTCTGACAGTGCACTGGCCCCTCACATTCAAATCTGGGCTTGCCCTTTTGGGCTCCTCCCCCGACAGCATCACTACCACCAGGTACCCCAACAGCCTTGCTCCTGATTTGGGTGCAGTGAACGTGGGCGGGGTTGTCCCAGGCAGAGTCACATGGGTTAAAGGATGGAGGGCAGCTCTGCTTAAGGTTTAGGTTTCTTCAGGGCTGCTGCTTTAAATCCCTAGTCCACGCTCCACAGGGAGCAAAGGCCAAGAGGCAGTAGGCTCTTAAACTACAATCATGATAACACATAATATCTTTAATGAAAAGCATAATAATGATAATAGTAATATTTATTTAAATAGCATTAAATATCATTTAAGTAGCATCTGTGGTCTATGAGCTGAAAGCATCTATTCCCTCATTTAGTGACACAGTATCTCTGCACCTCAATAGGGACAGGCTCTAGCAGCACCTGTTTTGTGGCCGAGTAAGTAAACTCAGTTATATAGGATTTAGGACCCAGAAATTTTGCCTCCCAAACCACTGATTTTTTTCTTTCCGACTGCATTACAAGAGTTGCTAGAATACTAGATGTTTACACCAAAGGGTAATTTTTTCATGAGCCATCTTTTTTATTTAAAAAAAAATCTTTTAAAGAAAACCAGGGAAGATAAAAA